GAACACGGAAATGAGCTGGGGCCTCTGAGGGCAGCCTCCAAAGTTTCTACAATCCAGCCTAAGAATCCTCGTCCTTCAAAACAAGCCCAGTCCAGAGGCTGCCCCATGTGTCCAACAAAAAGGGAGTCCTGGTCCTTCCTCCCCCCAACCCCCAGCTGCACCGTGAAGTATTTGGGATCCTAGATCCAGAGAAGGGACTGAACCCAGGCCATGGCAGTGGAAGCACTCATTCCTAACCACTGGACCGCCTGGGAATTCCTGAGACCTGGCCCTTTTAGCATGTTAGGTTGTGACTTCAAGCTGGGAGGAGCTGGCAGACACATGAGACAGAGAAATCTGGCCAGCTGAGTTCCACACAGAGCCCAGGCCTTACCAGGGCAGAGCCTGTGCCCAGCTGCCTCTGCCCTGGAAATGTCCCCTCCCCCTGAAGCTCCTTGCCACAGTGGGCACCCCCACCTACCTCCTGGATGGCTTCCATCACCACATGCTGAACGGATTCCTCTAGTGTCATGATTCTCTGGATGTGCTCTGGGGGTCAAGGTGGGGAAGACTGAGGCGGGGGTCGGAGGGGCAATGAGGGCTTTCTCGGGTCTTCCCATTAGGGACCACCCCTATCCTCCCATACCCTGCTTTTTCTCGCAACTGATGGCACAGCCCAGAACCAGCTGAAGCAGCTTGCCAAGCTCTTCTGGGTCTGAGAACTCGCCAATGAGGCTCACATCTGGAAGGTGCTGCTCCAAAATGGGATGCCCCAGGACCTGAGGATGGGCAGGAGGAAGGGATATCAGGGGCTCCAGGATTTTCCTCTGCTCTTCCCAACCTAACCCACTAAATCCCTTTATATAGTTACTCACATCCTGGGAGTACTCCACTAGGCTCTGTAAGATCGCCTTCAGATTGCTGACCTGGGGAGGGGCAAGGAGTTGTGTCCAGGGTCCCAAAGGCCCCCAGAAGGGGCCAGGCAGACCCCACCCTGAACCTGTCTAGCTCATCCTCTTCTTCTCTGCCTAACCTCCTAATCCCTGGTCATCTCATCCTATTTGGCCCCATTCTCTGTCTGTATGTCCTCCCTCCTAGGATTGACCTGTCTGACTGCCTGCTCTTCTTCTCCACCTGCCCATATTATTTATGTGTACCAGAGATCCAGTCACTTCTCACCACCTGCCCCACTACCCTTTGACCCTAACCATCATCTTCTCTCACAGGGATGGTTACAACAGCTTCCAGTCTTGCTGCTTCCCCTCCGTTCCTCCACAAACAGCCAGGGGGAGCTTTTCAAAGCCCCAGCCAGGTTTGTGTCTTTCCTCTACTAAATCCTTTCTTGACTTTACACAGCTTAAAATAGAATCTACCTCCCTGCTCCAGCCTGCCAGGTCCCTGATGACCTCATCTACCATTCTTACACCCCTGCTTTCTGTTCTAACCTTCCTGCCATCCATTCCTCGATCACACCAAACTTATTCCCAACTGAAGGCCTTTCCATTTACTGTTCCTGGGGTCTGGAATCCCATCCCTCCAAATCTCACGTTGGAGATCAGCCCATCTAAGGTAACCACCCACCCACTCCCAGTTGGCTCTCTCACACGACCCAGCTTTTATTGGCTTCATAGAGCTAACTGCCATTGGAAGTCAATGTTAATGCTTGTGTATGCAGTTTTTTGTGTGTTACTCCTTGCTGCGCACCCAGGCCTGCTTAATACAAGAATGAAGGAACAAATACATAGTTAGCTAGTCCCCATACATCTGTCCCTCTTCCTGTCCAGGTCTGTCTGTTCATCACCCAGGATATGTCTAACTGACTGGTCCCTGATCAACTCTTCACCAGTCTGTCCCCCATTCCTGAGTCCACCTGTCACCTTCAGCCTCCGGCTGGGAGCTGGGTCCTCTGAAATGCCCTGGAGCCACGCTTCGTTGAACCAGGAAGAGTCTCTGGGGGTGAGAAGGTGGGATGAGCTGCTGGAGGACTCCTTTGGGACCCTCCCCCTCAGCCCCACTCACATCTGGTTCAGCACAAAGGCTACTGCCAGGCCACTGCTCAGGTCCTGGGGGCTGGTACAGGGGGGCGGGACATTGAATGTCTGAAGCTGAGGGAGGAGAGGAAAGTGCAACAAGCAGAATCAGGGGCCGGGACCAAGGAACCATGCCCCTTTCTCAGACTCTTCTGGTCAGCAGGACCCTCACAGGGTTGGGCGGAAATTGCTGGCCAGTTGCTCCAGCAAGCCAGCCCCGTGGGGGTGTGGCCTCTGCTCACCTGGACCGACCAGAGGGGGCGTGGCCTCACTCTACCTCTGCCCAACAAACTCCGCGCGACCAAGCGAGGGCAGAAACTCAAGTCACCTGGTCCCCATAGGCACCACGTGACAAGGCCAGCTCACCTGTGGCCTCCCCCTCCACCAGACCCAGCCACAAAGGGGCGTGGCCTCACCTGTTCTTTCCAGCAAAACTGCCTTGTGACGGGGCAGGTGCTCAGACCAGAGTCCAACTGCCTAGCAGGCCGACGACCCCTTCCTCCTCCCAGCCCCAGGACGGAGGGGTGGACAGAGCCAAGTTCGGGGCTCCCGGGTGAGAAGAGCAAGCGTACACCTGTCCGTGGCCCCGCCCCCGACCTACCCAGGTGAGCAGAGACCCGCATAGTTCGGCCTTGTCCATGCTCATGGCTCCCGATCGGATTCGACCCCGGCCGCGCAGCCCCGCCACCGCAGCGGCGTCCAGATCAGCCAACAGCGAGCGCCAGCAGCCCCGACCTCCCGCTCGGCCTGGAGCGCCGCCCCGCCCCTTGGCGCAGGCCCCGCCCTAGACACGTGATCTCCTCCGGGCTCCAGCTCCGGCGTTCATACCCGCCATCTTGGATCCGGGAAGCCGTTTCGGCGCCTGTACTGCCGCTAGGGGTCAGTCTGGGCCAACCTTGCGCATCCCCAGGGTGGCCTCGCCTCTTTTCTTTCCCGAGCTCTTTTTGAGGTAGTGGAGACCTCGCCGTCTTTCCTCAACCGAGGTGGAGTTGCCCCACCCTGTTATACAGGCACATTCACGTCCCTTCCCTTCAGCTGAAAGAAATTCTGCTGTCTAACCACATTATGATAGGAGCCTTTGCGCGGGAGAAAGGCAGGCCATAACATATTCTATGGATTTAGGGAACACTAAAGGTTCTTCCCAGTGGAGGGGATTTGATAGTCTTGCTCAAGGGTAGACAAGGGCATTCGGGTCCTAAGTCGAGGGCAGGATAGTCCTGGGTAGTGAACAGACATATTTGCTTACCCTGGATCCGTCCTTCACTAAGCTTTCCCAGCCTTTTCCCCTCTCTGAGCCCTGCGCCTCAGAACCCATTACCGGGCCGGCCTGGTCGCCTCGGCCCACCAGGGGGCGCCCGGACCGCAGGAACGCAGCCTAGAGGGGAAACGACGGGCCTACTCTGAGACCCCTGGGGCAGTGAAGAAGGCTTAAAAAGAAAGTGCTAACAGTACTACGTAACAATAAACTCGCAGTCACTATTTATGGAGCGCTTACAAGAATGCAGTTCTGCGCTAAGCGATTTAAATATATAGTTGGTTGGAATCTCCACGACTCTAGGTAGCAAGTGCTCTCATAATTCCCGGTGCGCAGGCGAGGAAAGAGGTTCTGGGTGGATCCGGCTTGGGGGGCTGGGAGGCTGGTAAAGCCCCGGCCGGCGTCCTCTGACGCCTGAGTTGCCCTGCAGTCCCTCCCCCGCGGGGCGGGCGAGGTAATGAGTAGTAATTAGAGGTTATTAGCTGTACCCAGAGGGAGGGGCGGGCTCTGCTTTGGGAGTGGGTCTAAGTCTGAAAGGAGGGGAGCGGCTCCCTGCAACCTAGAGTCTGGTTCTGGCGACCCCTGCCAGCCCCCCCACCCCACCCCGAGCAGGTTGGGCAGGATGATAACAGCTCCCCTCTTAACACCGCCTCCCTGCATTCCATCCCTTCCCGCAGTATCGCGGGAACACAATCACTCTAGCACAGACTCCAGCTTACAGCCCACTCAGACGCGCGACCGCACACACGCAAGGGACCTCGGAGGCTCGTCTACACGCCCACATCCCCTTCCCGAGTCGTTTTCAGTCTCCATCCCCTGGGAGCAGAGCCGAGGGAAGGAGTAGGAAGGGGACAAGGGCCGGCAGTGCGGGCTTCCGTACTGGGCTTCTTCCGGCGGGCGTGAGAACAACTGCCATTTATCCCCTATCCCGCACCCGTCAGGGAGAGAGAGGGTACTGCCAATAGGGGGAAACGGGGGATGGGCGGGCTGCCACCTGGCAGACATGGAAGGTGAGCGGAACTACGGCTGTGACAAGAATGGGAGGCTGGGAATATTTGTGAGAGGATGTAGTCACCCAATGTTGGGGGACGTGCTGGGACCGCCAAATATTTGGGAGTGGGGTCTCCGATATTTGCAAGACCAGCAAGGCTCTTGATGTTTTGGAGGAATCTAAATATCTTGGAGCATGGACTTGAATTGTTTTAACGTTGCCGTGATATTATAGGCGTTATAGATATTCAGGGACCCCAAAGTCCCCAGATTTAAAGGAAAGTCTGGGTACCCCCACTTTGAAGGAGTCACAACCCTCCATTTGGGGCGGCAAGGAATCTCATGTTGGAGGGGAGAGGGAGTTCCCTACTGTGGTGGAAAAGAGCAGCAATCCCTATTAATGGAACACAGGGAACCCTGCTGTTGAAGGCATCCGTGTGCCCTCCAAGGAAACCAGTTACAAACCCTCATTCTGAAGCAGGGATCTTTTATTTGAGGAAAAGAGTCAAACCCCCATTTTGATGGAGAGACCCCCAAAGTTTGGGGAATGCTCTGAAGGCCTCCATTAAGGACAGAGATGCTGGTCGGGGCCAGCAGCCCCGAGCTGGTTTGGGGACCCCACCCCCCCTCCTTTCCCCTCTGTTTCCAGGAACAGCTGGGCCCAGCCTGGGCTGTACTGCTGGGAAGCGGGTGAGTCAACCCCTCCCTGTGGCCACAGCTGGACCCCCGCCCGCCCCCTCTGGCCTTCACATCTGGGCAGAGACCCAGTCATGAGAGCTGGGATGGGGACCCTTCAGTTCACACATTTGGAGATGATGCCGCTCCCCTCGGAGAGTGATCACAACCTCAGGGTGGACACCGTGCCCCACCCCCATATCAGGAGGGACTCTGGCAGGTTTTCTACACTCCAGACACTGACATTCTGCCAGGACTCCCATCCTGACCCCCTCCCCTCCCGGTGTCTGTGTATGTATCTCTGAGTCCATGTGAAATGTGTTCACATCTATGTAGATGGGAGATGGTGGGTCTGTGATTGTGTGTGCACAGGCCTGTGTCTGCATAGACCTGTGTCTTGGTGAGTCTTGAGGCCCTGGGAATTTACACAACAGGCTATGTGTGTATGATCTGGTGGATTTTTTGGAGGAGGGGTGTGCTGTCAGGGACTAGGGCACGTGTTTTTCTTTATGAGACCTTGGTGCTGGTTTAGTCGCTAAGTCGTGTGGGACCCTTGGGACCCCCGTGGACTGTATCCCGCCAGGCTCCTCTGTCCATAGGATTTTCCAGGCAAGAATACTAGAGTGGGTTGCCATTTCCTTCCTGACCCAGGGATTGAACCGGGGTCTCCTGCACTGCAGGCAGATTCTTTATCGACTGAGCTACCAGGGAAACCCTTATTTTGTGTCTATATCCCTATGTCATTCTTTGTGTAAGTAGTGAATGACTGATAATCAGTACTTCAGTATGCCTTTGTTTCGTGACCGTGTCCTACTTTATGTCATGTGTTTTTCTGCGATAGCATGAGGCTGTCATAGGTGGCCTTGGTTTGCCCATGTCCCCGAGACAGTCTGCTGGCCCTGTATGCGGTCTTGCGGGTTTGTCTTACTTTACGTGCCCTAATTGTGATGTACGCGGACAGTATGACCATCGAGTCTGTCCCCACAATGTGTCTGTGACTCTACAGTCTCCATGTGAGGGGAGTGGCTGGATGACAACTGGATTCCTGAGGTCCGAGACTTTATCTGTTTGCGTCTTATTTTGTGTTGATGGTGTGGCTTTATAGGAGTGTCTGTATATGTCACCTGTCTGTGTGTGAAGACGGCCCTGTCTGTGTCCCTACCACAAGCGGCGTGTGACAGTGTGACCCTGCCCGCATTCGCTGCGGGGCTGGCTGGATTAGTGAAGGTTTGTGCCAACGTGTGGCAGGTGTATCTTGTGTCCGTGTGACACTGTAGATGGGAGAGTTTGTGACCTTGTGGGGGGGTGTCAAAGTCACACAAGACAGCGTACTTAGCGGAGGCAGAGGCGGTGATGTGCTCCGGGGGTGTCAAAAACCCCGAGCTCCGCTGCTCTGGGCCCCGCTCCCTGCGCTGCGGGGGCTCGTGCGTCGTGCGTGACGTGAGGCACGATGGGGGTCGCTGCCTGCGTGGAGCCCGACGCGGTCGTGCCTGCGAGCGCGGGGAGGGGTGGAAATGGGCTAGTTGCGTGCGTGCGTGCGTGCGTGCGTGCGTGAGTGCGTGGGCAGCCACGGGGGTTGGGCGCGCGGGGAAGCGCTGGGCGCAGCCCCACCCTGCCTGGGACAGTTGGGCGCGGGTGAAACCCTGGCAGTGGGGGGTGGGGGCGGGACGCGGCGCCGTTAACCCCTTCCTGCCCGACCTGAAACTTGTGGCCCCTCGACAGAGCGCGGGGGCTTCCCCAGTGCTCAGGGACCGTCCCTGACGAGGGAGGAACCCCGCCTTCGAGCTGAGAGACCCCCCCCAGTTACCATGGGAACCGGAGCTTCCCGCGCAGCCTGGCGCGTGCTTCCTCCCTCCTCCCGCTCTTCCTCTTAACTCCACAGTCCACCGATAATGGGCTTCCCGCTCCTGATCTCCGGGGAAGGGGCTGGGGTCAGCGAGGCCGGGGCGTGCGTGACTCAGGCCAGCTTGAGGGTCCTCTGGCCACAGCAGACCTCCCTCCCCCTTCTCCACCCCGTGACTCACCCCTCGCGGCTTTTCCCCGTGTGTGACTCAAGCCCCTGGGGAGGGGGCTGTGGACTCTGAGACCCCCTTCCAGGCAGTGGGGGCTGAGAACCCAGTACTGGGGCCCTGCAGCCTGAAGGGTGGGGCTCTCCCTCCAGCGAGGGTCGGTGTCGTGTTCTCCCTTAGCCATCTCTTACCAAGGTCACTAGAGGCGTTTCCCCCCACCCCAGAATTGGCAGTACCTACCCCACCAAAACCCTCCGGGAACCAAGTCCCCAGCCCCTCCCCCTCAAGCCCACAGGAAGTTTTGGCAGAGCCCGTTGGCGATGAAACGGTTAAAGCCGTTTTCTTATTCATTTCATCCAGGGGCCCCTTTGACTCAGAGCTAGCCAGGCGCCCCCTCGAGCCGGGCCTCGTGGGGGCCTGGGTTCATACTCCCCACACTTACCATTTTTAGAGAGGGGAGGGAAGGCTGTTGGTGAGCTGACTGGGGGTCTTGGGGGGCATGTACAGGGTTGGGTTCAGATCCTGCCTCTGACCTCGTTGCTCCCTGGGTCTCAGTTTCCCCATCTGAAAATGGGGAATCATTTTGAGCAGTTTATTGTGGCATTGTGAGATTAGGTGAATAATAGATGGGACACTTTGTTTCCAGAGCTGGGCACAGGAGCAGAGAGGGGGCTTGGTCGGTAAAAGGACCCAGGCTCCTCCTGTCTCCCAGGCCTGGGTGCCGGGTGCCCAGCAGAAATGAGTCCTTGTGGGGCAGTCCATGCCCCACCCAGGCGCTCTGAGGCCATAGGGTTCATCCCGTCCACCCCCTGCCCGGGGCAGGCACCCAGGAAGTGAGAGGCGGGGCAGGAATGAGGCGGAACCTGTTGGGCCCGTCGCCTCCCCACCCCCCCCACCCTCATTCCGGGGCCCTCATGCCCCCCCACATACGCTGTGGCCCCACCCCCACCGCCCTGGACGCCTGGGTCCTGACCCGAGGGTGGCCCAAGGGAGGGGATGTCGGCGGAGACAGCGTCTCGGGAACATCCTGTGGACTCCTGGCTGGACAGACGGGAGAGTCAGCCCCTCCCCGGGCAGGACAGCAGTCGGCTGGGGGCAGAGTAAACACGGCCCAGAGCAGCCAGACTTGGAGGGGCGGCAAGGAGCATACACATACACAGTCACCCCGAGAGAAAGCCAGTCTACACACACAAAACTCCTGTCACCCTGGCCACAGACGGACTGCCAAACGGGGACACACTGACAGGGTCAGACACAAACCTGGGTAAAGACGGCTGTCAAATGCAGACACGGTGACGGGGTAGGCCAAAGAGGAAGACCGAAATGCTGTCAAACACTTGAAACACTGACAGGCCAGAAGCATAAAGGTAACACAGATAGGTGAACAGATAAGTGCGCTCAGCGTACAGGCAGGATGGACACACCGACAAGCACAAACACAAGGATATTGACATTCAGGTGAGCAGTGCACAGCCAGTCACACGTCCTCAGGCACCCTGAGACAAATGTGACAGGCCAGAAACACACAGGCAGGACGGACACACGGACACAAGTGGGCAACACAGGCATGTGGACAGACTCAGAGATAAGGGACAGTCACTTTCCGCGCAAGTGCCCCAAGAGGTGCACAAGAGATGTTCAGACACAATGTTAGATCCTGACACTCCGGAGAAGGCCACAAAGGCATACATGCGCGCACACACTAGCAAGAGCACCAACTCAAAAAGATAACTCAGGTGAAGGAGACAATCATAAACGTATGGAGAGAAGGACAGGAAGGACACATACAGACCATGACAGACAGCCCCAGCCACCATCCCTCCACAACACACACACAGTTGCATATATATCAGATAAGCTCTGAGGACACCAGAAATCAGCCTTATAGATACACACTACCTCACTGGTAACACATACATCAGACCCTCTGACAGACTGGGCATATGAAAGCAGACAGACTGACATATTCTCAGACATGGTCTGGCCAGATAGTCACACCCAACCCAGAGAAGCATGGACAGGCCCCAGTCAGATATTCATTAACAACGTTGGCACAAGGACACCCTGACAGAACCTGTTGGCTAACACATGGACACATACACACCAGCCACAGAACCCACATGGACACACACACAGATGGTCACAGACACACACCGGCCATGGACCTCACACACAGACCTCACACAGGCAAGCCATGGACCTCACACACAGACACACATACACGTACAGACCAGACACGAATAGATTAGCAGTAAGAACTCCAGAACAACGTAGACTCCCTATTCAGGCCAGCCACAATACAACCTATCATATAGCCCATACACATACACACATACACACTCACCCCCCTTCCCCCCTCCATCCCCCCACCCAAAGCAGACAGGCCCTACACACCCCTGCAGGGTTGGGCCAGCACACAGACACATGCCTCGAGAAGACAGACTTCACACACACTCACACGCCCTGACAGGCCAGCCACACACAAACCCACAGCCAACCACACACACGCGCGCCCCTGGACCATGATGAGGTACTGTGGGGTTCTGGGCTTCCCAGCCCTTCTCTACCCCCACCCAGAGATCCTGGTGCTTACTCTCTCCAAACACCTCCCCCCACCCCCCTCCCAGACGGCTCTTTGTCACTTCCCCTAGGAGGCCCAGCTCAGCAGCCTAGGTCCCTGGTGAGGTGTGGGCCTGTTTTCTCAGCACATCCGCTATAAATGGGGCACCCGGGATTGCAGCCATGCTCAAGCCCCCCAAGACCTCGCCAGCAGTGGGGGGGGTGGGGGTGGGCCAGAAACAGTCTTGTGGGAAACTCCCCTCATGCCCAGCTTAGTCAGCCTAAGGACAGACTCTCCTTCCTGCTTCCAAGAAAACCGAGCTACTTCCTCCCCAGGAGAGGGATAGGGACCCCCCAAACCACAGAGGTGAGGGAGGGATGCAGCTGGCAAGCTAGGGGTTCCTGGGGGGGGGGCCTCCATGATTCTCAGCCTCTTCCTGCCAGCTGCCTGTCCACACCCAGGGGCAGGGACAAGGGAGCCTGGGTGCTATGACTTGCGGGTTCTCGCCCTGGCCTGCCCACTGGCTGACTCACAGGCAGCCCCCAGCCCAGTTTCCTGGTGAGGGCCCTGCCGGCCAGTGGGGCCAGGGTGGAGAGGGGTCACCAGGCTATTTATAAGAAGGAGAAGTCCCTCCTGCCAAGGCCAAAAGCCCCAGAGAGACCCATGGGTGGGGGTGGGTAAACTTCCTCCTTATCCAGTCTCCCAGGTCCTGGGCCCCTGGGCATGAGGAAAGCCTGGGCACAGTCTCCTTAGGCAGATGCTGGTTTGAAGCCCATGGCCTGGGCAGTACCCGGCTGCTAGTCTGGGCACCCAGCGCAGACAGAGGAGGGGGCTATCCTCACACCCTCCTCACGGGGCTGGCCTTGGCGCCAGTGGGGCGGCATGAGGGGGTGGTGCCCAGGCCACAAGGGTGAGACTGGCAGGGGCCTGGAACCGGCTGTACCAGCTCAGCTGGGCCCCCGCCCTCCCTCCTGGCCCAATCCCCACCCCCTGCTCAAGCACTCGTGCAGAGAGCATGCTGGTCTTGCCCCCAAACACACCAGCACCCCTCTGTCCTGTTCCCAACCCCCATAAAGGAGACCCTTTATGAAAGGGCCTGCAGAGCTTAGCATATAGTTGGTACTGCATACATGCCTCTCTGATTGTGATTATCTACACAAAAGTGGCTAACACTCTGGAACCAGACAGCTCAGGTTTTAGGTCAACCCCAGGGCTTTGAGCTATGGGACATGAGGCAAGTTCCTTACCTTGCTGTACCTAAGTTTTCTAGTCTCTTAAAGGGGCTAATAGCAAATAGCATACATTTCGCTGGGTTGTTGGAAGCAGGCAATGAGTTATTCTATGTAAACCACTTAGAAGAGTGCCTGGTCTATGGTAAGAGCCATATCTGTGTGTGTGTTAGTCACTCAGTGGTGTCTGACTCTTTGGGACCCCATGGACTGTAGCCCGCCAGGCTCCTCTGTCCATGGAATTCTCCAGGCAAGAATACTGCAGTGGGTTGCCATTTCCTTCTCCTGGGAAGAGCCATATAAGTGTTAGCTATTAAAATAATAATTATTTCTCTGTCTGCTTGTCTTAAGTGTCTCTGAGTCGTGCTGTCTGTCTGCATGACTCCAACCCTGCAGTTCTCCCTGCCCAAACCCCCACCCCCATACATCCATTTTTCCTTGCTGGGTCCTTGGCCTCCATCTCTACCCTCATTGGGACAGTCTCACCTCTCTCCAGGACTCCCCTGGCATGGCCAGCCTCAGCACTGGTCAGGGCTGACTCACTGTGGCCTCCTGGCCCGTGGGACCTGCAGGTTGGCTTCCTGAGATGCTGCCCTCTGGTCAGACCTGCCCAGCCCCCCAACGCTGCCCGCTGCACCCCCGCAGGGCCCAGCCAGATGTCAGCTGCAGTTATTAGCATGGGCGGGAGACACAGACCTGGCAGCGTGCCTGCCAGACTCAGCGGCCACTGGAATCTCCCTTGAGCCTCGGGCGGGGGAGGGGAGCAGTTCAAGCAAGGGAGGAGGGGAGGGGGGACCCAAGGGTCACAAGGACCCTCGAGATGGGGACACCCCCAGCTTCTCGTGGGACCTTCCTCCCCAACGCGCCACTGCTCTGCTGGACTTCCCCAGCCCCCGCAGAGCTGTTTCTCTTTTGCCTTCTTTCGTTTTGCTTCTCTCCTCCACACTTGGTGAACTCTGTGCTTGACCTGTAAAGGTTGGCCAGCCCCTCTCCCCCAGCCTCTCTCTGCCCTAAAGAAACTTCCATCTATCTCCCCAAAGATAAAGGCTTCACTCTCTGAGAGCCTGAGCTCATCTTTGGTTCTAGAGGCTGGTATCCTATCTGCTTGGAAGTTCCACTTTAAGTCTAAATCGAAGCCTCACCATCTAAACCTTCACTTATTCCTGGGGAAGGGGCTCTGGAAGGGTTCCCTCAGATGAGGGCGAAATCTAGGGTGAGGGAATGGATCCCCCGTTAGGTATTCTGGATGGTGAGGAGCCCCATACTAAAACAGGAGTAGGGCCCCTCACCCACATGAGTGATGAAGGGGGCACCGCAGCCCCTAGAGGTGTATGTGCCAGACCTCCTGGCAGAAAGTAAGGGCACCCGGCTCGAGGTAAGAGGCAGCCGTGTCAGCCCGCCCAGGCGCCGGGGTCGCCTCGAGGCATTGGCCCGCCCCCTCTTCGCCCGTCGGGCTGGGGGCGAAGTCCGACCCAGGCCCGCGGGCAGGCGGGGACCTGCCAGGCTGGGTCGGGCCAGGCAGGGCCTGGCAGGACGCGGCCTCAGAGCGGCTGGGTGGGGCCGGGCCAGGCGGCCGTGGGGGCCCCGGGGGCGGCGGCCGGGGCTGGTCGGGACTAGCCGTCCGGGGGCCCGGGCGTGCCCTGGGACCTGGCAGATACCGGGGCGGCCGGCTCCTGGCCGGGGCCCCGGGACAGCGTTTGACCCACCCCTTCCTGTGCCCTTATATGGGCGTCGGGGCGAGACTCCGGGGGCCGCCCCGCCCCCAGTCCGGCCGGCGGACTCCCGCCTGTTGCCATGGCGACCAGACCCCGCTCTCCGGTGGGTCCCCCTCCCTCGGGCCGGTGGAATCGTCCGGGACTGCCAGCCTCCGCCATTCCCTGCGGGCTCCGAGGACTGAACCATTCCTGGGGTGGGAATCGGTGACTGGAGACCTCTGCAGCTGGGCTATTTCAACGCCCCCGGCTTCCTCGGGGGTCGCCTGCTCAGGTTCCTCTTCCGAGGCGCTGAACCCCGCCGGACACAGGGCGGGGCGCCTGGTCCCGTAGGATTCGAGTGACGGAGGCAGGGCCGGGCTCCGTCCCCCGGGGCTGTTGCCACACTTCCTGCCTCGGCGCTCTTTCCCCAGCCTGTTTCTAAGGAAGGAGTGGGGTTGGGCGACCGCGCCCCAGTCGTCGGGCTGGGTCTAGGCACCAGGAGCCGACACGGTGTCGGTCAACCTCAGGGTCACTAGGGGAGGGCTTTGGGGTGGGGAGTGTACAGGCACCCACGAGAGGGGGAGCCGATCATGGAAGGTCCCGACCCCTCCTTCTCTCAGGTCTCAACCGGGGACCCTCTCAATATTATCTCAATTCTGAAAGGGTGCCTCGACCCTTCTAATTCTCTCCTTCATTGGGGCTTCGCAGATGACCCCAGTGACCCCCAACCTCTGACAGTATCCCAATCTTCTACCCCACGTATTTTCCTTGCCTCAGTGTACCCCAGGACCCTCATTGACTTTATGCATTTCTAGTTTCTCTCCATTCCTTCCCCTTCCCACTTGTGGGGGACTCTGTCTCTCTCCGGTGGGCTCCAGGACCCCGACTCATTTTTTGCTTAGTGGACCCTCCAGCCTCTCCCGGGTGCACTTTTGATCGCTCCTCCTTATTTTACCTGGGTTCAGCTCCTCCTGGGAAAATTCAGTCCCTCAACCCTTCTGTACCCAGGACCCCGACTCAGTTTCTGAGTCAGATGTCTCCTCCCCTGCTTCCCCATCTACCTTGCTTTACCTTCCTGTCTCTCCTTTGCGGGGTCTCTCAGTGTATTCTCAGCCCTCCAGCACCTCTGAAAGACTCCAGATCACTCAGGCCTCTCCGTGTGCATCCCGGGACCACCCCCTCCCCCCAACACACACACACTTGCTCAGTACCAATTCCTCGTATCCCTTATATCAGTAAAATCATCACCCTCCCCGAAACCTCTCCCGGTGTGCCTCGGATCGCCCCAGCAGCCCCTTCCTCACGCACCCTAGGGTCCTCTGGCCCCTCCCCCTGCAGGCGCTCCGAGCCACCCAGCCCGTGGCCGCTGTTTACAAGGACACGCGCTTCCTGACAATGACGCGAGCCGCCTCCTCCCCTTCCCCACGCTCCAGAAGGGGGGCGCGGGGGCCTGGCTCGGGCGACAGCCAATCAGAGCGCACTTCCGCGGCTGACAACCGCGGTATAAAGGCTTGTGGCTCTGGCGGAGCGGCCGGGACCTTGAGCACGGCCAGGCCAGCACCGGAGCCAGCAGGGAGCAGGGAGCAAGGGGGAAGCGACACCAAGAAAACGAGCGCGCCAGAGAGGGGCAGAGGGGCTCGAGAAGCCGCACAGAGCTTCCTCGCACAGCCTCCGACTGGCCTCTCCCGACCAGTGCCAGCCCTCAGGAACGTTCGTCCAGACACCTGATACAGGCACAGCCGCGGACTGCGCGCGGCTCACTGCAGCGAGGCCCGGGGCGGCCCCGCAGGGACCCCCTCAGACCGCCCGGGCCGCCCGGATGTGCACTAAAATGGAACAGCCCTTCTACCACGACGACTCATACGCAGCGGCGGGATACGGCCGGACCCCGGGCGGCCTCTCTCTACACGACTACAAACTCCTGAAACCCAGCCTGGCGCTCAACCTGGCCGACCCCTACCGAAATCTCAAAGCACCCGGTGCGCGGGGTCCCGGCCCAGAGGGCAACGGCGGAGGCAGCTACTTTCCCAGCCAGGGTTCGGACACAGGCGCGTCGCTCAAGCTCGCCTCATCGGAGCTGGAGCGCCTGATCGTCCCCAACAGCAACGGCGTGATCACGACGACGCCCACGCCCCCGGGACAGTACTTTTACCCCCGCGGGGGTGGCAGCGGTGGAGGTGCGGGGGGCGCAGGGGGCGGCGTCACTGAGGAGCAGGAAGGCTTCGCCGACGGCTTTGTAAAAGCGCTGGACGACCTGCACAAGATGAACCACGTGACGCCCCCCAACGTGTCCCTGGGCGCCAGCGGGGGCCCCCCAGCCGGGCCCGGGAGCGTCTACGCCGGCCCGGAGCCGCCTCCAGTCTACACTAACCTCAGCAGCTATTCTCCGGCCTCTGCGCCCTCCGGAGGAGCCGGGGCCGCCGTCGGGACAGGGAGCTCCTACCCGACGGCCACCATCAGCTACCTCCCACACGCGCCGCCCTTCGCCGGCGGCCACCCGGCGCAGCTGGGCCTGGGCCGTGGCGCCTCCGCCTTCAAGGAGGAACCGCAGACCGTGCCTGAGGCGCGCAGCCGCGATGCCACGCCGCCGGTGTCCCCCATCAACATGGAAGACCAGGAGCGCATCAAAGTAGAGCGCAAGCGGCTGCGAAACCGGCTGGCGGCCACCAAGTGCCGGAAGCGGAAGCTGGAGCGCATCGCGCGCCTGGAGGACAAGGTGAAGACACTCAAGGCGGAGAACGCGGGGCTGTCCAACACTGCCGGCCTCCTCCGGGAGCAGGTGGCCCAGCTCAAACAGAAGGTCATGACCCACGTCAGCAACGGCTGCCAACTGCTGCTTGGGGTCAAGGGACACGCCTTCTGAGCGCCCCCTTCTTCCCCGTACGGACATTTCCCCAACCTGGACGGCTGGGCGCACGCCTCCCATGGGGCGAGGGGGCAGGCGGTGGGCACTGGCCCTGGGGCCTGAGGACGCTACAAACCACACTGGACTCCTGCTCGCCCGCTCTGCGCCCAGTCCTTCCACCTCAACGTTTACAAGCCCCCCTTCCACTATTTTTTTTTATTTTTTTTTTCTGCAGAACTCAATTCATATTGAATATAATATATTTGTGTATTTAACAGGGAGGGGAGGAGGGGGCGATTGCGGCGGAGCTGGTTCCGCCGCCCGGTACTCTAGCCCTCGGGGATACTGGGGAGAGGACCCCCGCCCCCTGCCCTCCCCCCTCTGAACCGTACTGTGGAGAAGAAACACGCAGTCGGTTTCTAAAGGATTTATTTTAAGCTCTGTTTTTGTGTGAGTTCGTTTATTGTCCTTTTTATTGAATCTATTTAAGTAAAAAAAAAAAAAGTTCTTTATTAATTTCTGTTGTCTTTTTTTTCAAGCCGGGCGGGCGGAGGGAGGGGAGTACTGGGCAGCCCCCACCCCACGGCTGTTTGTGGCTTGGTCCAGTAACTGTGTCAACCTCGCCAGTTCTGTTCAGGCATCTTACGTCCTCAGCCCGGGTATCCAACCCGTCTCGCGTCTCCTGATCTCCCGGATTGGAAGGTACAGGGTGGGTACACAGTCCAGCCACCCCCCCACCCCACCCCCAGCGCCAGGGGACAGGATGCCTGGGGCGAAACGCTCAGCGCGCAGGCGCGGCACCGCCCAGCCGCGCGCTCCGGGGCTTTCCCCGCTGACGCTGCGGAAGCGCTGTCCAAACATGGGCCGATTCTGCCCAGTGACGCGACAGCGGTCTCCGGGCAGATTCCGGGAATCCCCTCCCCCGCTCTGCCGGGCAGGGCTCCGGCGCCGGGAAGGGGGCCGGGATTTTCCCAGACTGGCGGCTACCGAGGCCCGGAAAGCCCCAGGCCTGGGTCCAGAGCGTCCGCGGTGGGCGGGCCGCGCTCCAGAGCCCCAGGAGCCACCCCAGAGTTTCCCCCATCGGGCTGGCCCCTGGGTCCTGCCCAGCCCACGCCCGCTGCGTTTGACCTGACCCGGGCGAGGGGATGCAGTTGCCTGCGCGTCGTTGCCACCGCGATCCCCTCCCCACCCCCGCCAGGAAGGGCGGTGCCCGCCTGCCAGTTTCCCCTCCCGGGTGCCAGGCCGGGAGCGGGGCGACTGCCAGGTCTGGTCCTGCCGGGGCGGCTGCTCGGGCCGCCGGGCGCCGCCGCCGCCCTCGCATGGGGCTGCCTCCCCCGCAGCTAGGACGGGTGGGAGGGCGGCTGGCGAGCCCCGACGGGGATCTGGCAGGCTTCGGAGCTGGAAGCCCCCAGTACAGCAGAGAAAAGCACAAACTGAGAAACCAGGCCACAGGGCCTAGGTGCGGTAGAACAGACGTTTCATTAATTTGTTTATAAAATACTGAACGACCCGGTCCTGGAGTCACTAGCTGGGCCAGGGCAGACAGACAATAAACAAGCAAACATGATTTGGAGATGGTGGTTAGTGCCAGGAAGAGGGAAAAAAAAAAAAAAAAACTGGTCACAATGGTCGTGATGGAACAGGGGAGGTGAGCTGCTTTAGAGAATGAATTGGGAACACGAAACTTTAATGAGGCTATTTTTCAGCTGACCACTGAGAAAATCCTGAGTAAGAGAGTTCTGCCAGAGAGAATAGTACATGCAAAATTTCTGTGGCCAGAACAAGATCAGCCTGTTAAAGAACACCAAGAAGCCACTGTGCTTCAGTAGAGTGAACCCACGGAGGTGGAGATGAGGTCAGGGAAGACCACGTAGGGCCTTGTGGAGGAGTATAGATAAAATTCCAAGGCCGAGGACTTCCCTCGTGGTCCAGTGGCTAAGAATCCGCCTGCTGGTGCAGGGGACTTGAGTTTGATTCCTGGTTTGGGAAGATTCCACATGCTGTGGAGCAACTAAGCCAGTGTGGTGTGCCACTACTGAAGCCAGTGCTCTAGGTGCCCTGCTTCCGCAACTAGAGTAGCCCCTACTCCCTGCGACTAGAGAAAGCCAACACTCAGCAGTGCACGCCTAGGGCAGTTAAAGTAATTTACAAATTTTAAAAACAATAGAATAAAAGTTCCAGGGCTGAGATGAGTGACTTTGGAGGGCATTAGGCTGGAGTACTACTAATGGTGGTGGGGGTTTAGTCACTAAGCCATGTCTGACTCTTTAGTGACCCCATGGACTGTAGTCTGCCAGGCTCCTCTGTCCATGGGATTTTCCAGGCCAAGAATACTGGAGTGGGTTGCCATTTCCTCCTCCAGGGGATCTTCTTGACTCAGGGATCGAACCTGCAACTCCTGCATTACAGGCAAATTCTTTACTGACTAAGCCGCTAGGGAAGCTTAATAATGGGTCTATGGATTAAATGAGCATGTCAGTCCTGTGGAAGGAAATGAGGACTAAGAATGGCAACAACACTTGCCTGAAAAAGTACAGCATCAAACTTCACACCTTAGAACACTGTGTTGCTCCTAACACCTGCCTTCTTGTGTAACCCTCACCCTTCCATTTCAGGGACAGGACATAGACTTTCCAACCTCTGGTGGTACAGAAATTGCAGCAGAACTATGCATGTACCTCAAGCTCCCACTCTTGGTTCTACTTTCAGGATTGGGTCCCCACCTTCTTCCAGTCCCAGGGACCTGGTCCTAATAACCATTAATAGAGCCCCAATCTTCACGTACTTCTTTTAACATGCATTGTCTTCATTCCCATTGGTCGTCTTTATTCCCGTTTTGCTATTGAAAAGACCCAGGGAAGACCACAGCTCCTAAGCAGCTTTTTAACCCAGGCTGGCTGCTAAGGTGTGAGCGCTGCCCGGCCTGGCCAGGTTTCAGGTAGTAAGGCAGCCTGGGACTTGCTCCCTGCAAGAGGCAACAGCGCCAACCTCCTCACCTTCAGGCCACGGAGAAAGGAAGCAGCGAGCATGAAGCAAGGCTGCCACCTTGTGGTGGAGATCGGTAACTACAATGTCAGTTTCCCAGAGCACAGCCTGGAGAAAGCGGCCGGGGGTGGTACCACACCAGGACAAACCACACAAACAGAAGACTCAGATCTGTCCCTAATACTTTATTAGTCACCTATAGGCCTGTTCTCAGTTATGTGGGCTCCAAGGAGGGGGTCACCATTCACCAGCTCGCAGCTGGGAGCTTGAGAAGGACTTGGCCTAACCCTCTGTGGTCATGGACTGTGGAGTCTGAAGGAGCAGGTCCGGCATTTCCTGGGTCAGTACAGGACACAGGTAGGGGCCTAGAGGCGGGCCAGGAGCCCAGGCGTGCCACCATCTGCCAGCCTAGTTGTGTTTGGAGAAATATTCCTTGCTGTCGTCCACGTTGGGCTTGATCGTGTCACTGCCTGGTGTCCAGCCAGCGGGGCAGACTGTGGAAAAATAGGGATGCACATGTGAGGCTTGAGTGCCATGTTCAAGGGAGAGCAGTAGTGAGGGGACAGAGAGAGGCCAAGAGCATGAGCTGCAGAAGCAAAAGCCTAGAGCCAAGTGGTCCAGGCCTAAGACCATGCTACATGATGAAAGAAGCCCTCCGCACTCAGCTGCAGGACTGTCTGACATTTTTGGGGGGGCTGTACCTCAAGGCATGTGGGATCTTAGTTTTCCGACCAGGGACTGAACCTGTGCCCCTCGCAGTGGAAGTTTCAACCACTGAACTGCCAGGGAAGCCCCTGTTTTATTTTTTGGCCATGCCGTGTGGCTTATGGAATCGTAGTTCCCTGATCAGGGACTGAACTAAGGCCCTTAACAGTAAAAGTTTGGAAACCACTGGACAGCCAGCGAATTCCCTAGTTGATATTTATTTTCTTTCCGACTTCTTGAATCACATCTTTCTCTCTTAGCCCCTGCCCCAGTGGACTTCAAGGGCCAGTGGCCTTCACAGGAGAAGATAACTGATCCAATTAACATTAAAGCCTGCCTTGGTACAGGCCTTCTCAAATATCTTCTGTAGAGTTCTATTACCTCCCCAGTTATCTGCCCTTATACTGGGGTAGTATCTCCCCCACCAGACTAGAATTTTCTTGCAGACCTTGAGCTGAATCTTCTCTGGGGCCTTCACATCCAGCCCACACAAGTGATAGAGAAGGCCTTGAACATATGTGTGCATGACACAGGGGCCGTGTATGTACCCACGTGTGGACACATGTGACTGGGTGTGTCTGCTCACCTTCCCCGTGCTCATCTGTGTACTGGAAAGCCTGGACCAGCCTCAGAGCCTCATCCACGGAGCGTCCCACAGGCAAATCATTGACGGTGACCTGGCGAAGGACACCCTTGCCATCGATGACAAAGAGGCCCCTGAGATATTGGAGTTCACAGTGAGGAGCCGGGGCTGCCGCTGTCAGGACCCGGGGAGGGAGCACAGACACCCTGCTAGCCATAGGGTGGGAGTGGTCCCCTCACCCTGAGGATGGGGGCTTCCCGAGGTTCCCTCAGTACCTGTAGGCGACCCCCTCATCTTCCTTCAGCACGCCATAATCACTGGACAACTTTCTGGTTACATCAGCCAGCAGGGGGATGTTCAGTGGGCCCAGGCCTCCCTCCTTCCGGGGAGTGTTGATCCTGAGGGTGGGGTAGAGAAGGTTGGGACCTCAGGATGGCTGGTGCAGCAGGGTCCTTACCCTGTGATAAGGGCCTGGGTGTGATAAGGGCTGGGAAAGGGGGTGCTGGAGGTGAGAGATAAGGGGCCTGAGAGCAAGTCCCAGGGAGCCTGGCCCACCCCACCCTGAAGTGGGTGCAGAGGCTGCTTCCCACAGCTGGGGAGACTAAGCTAATACTCTAGCAAAGTGACTTCACATGTGCAGCAGCAACGGGAGGCAGAGAACCTGCCCTGAAGTCCCCATTCTCCTCTTTCGAACTCTTAAACTGGAGTTTCCACCTGGCTCAAATAGTTCTTGAGAGGGAAGCTGCATTGCCCTGACTGAGAAAAAACATTTATCAACTCCCTAAGCCACAGAAACTACTTTCCAAAGGTTAATTACTGTCATTATCATGAAGGACTTGGGAGTCACCCTCCCCATTATTTTCTTGCTGGGAACCGGATACGCAGAGGTTGCCCATTGAGCAGAACACACAGATGGGGCCCTGGAGAGGTGTAGGTTTAGCTGCACCCTCCCTCCTTCCTGGTGATCTGCATTCCTACCAAGCCAGGTGGGTGAACTGAGAATCCACGGAGACGCCCAGCACCTCGCAGTTCAGCTTGTGGAACTCCGCAGCACGGTCGCTGAAAGCTACGATCTCCGTGGGGCACACAAAGGTAAAGTCCAGCGGGTAGAAAAAGAGGACCACGTACTTCCCTGGGGTGGGAAGAGACGAGGAGTTGGGGCTCGGGCCCTCTAAGGCCTGTGCCCCGCCCCCCACCGCGGCGCCCATCCAGGCCCTCACCTTTGTAGTCTGAAAGCTTCACCTCCTTGAAGGCGCCATCCACCACCGCGGTCGCCTGGAATTCCGGGGCGGGCTTTCCGAGGTGCGCCTTGCCGCAGGCCATGACTGAAAGCTGAGACCCCCCCCCCGCCCGCCCCACCCACGCCAGGTCAGTGAGCTCTGGACGACCCTTTGTCTTCACTTCCCAAGGTCACGCCGCATATCTGGCCGAGTTACCGAGTCAGAGTGACGGAGACACTTGCTGCCCTGCCCCGCACCCTCTCCGGGACCAGGTCGGCGCGGCCGGGAGACTTTAGGAGACCCGCCCACCTGGACAGCTAGGGCGGCCAGGCTGCTGCCGCCCGCTCCCCAGTTAGCGTGTCGGCAGTAGCGCGATCACGCAAGCCCACTCGCCCAGGAGATGTCGCGAGTTGGGGACGGGGAGCATGGGGATGCGGCCGGTACCCCAAGGTTCTGGCCTCTGTTTCCCGCCCCCCACCCCCACTCCCGCAAGGACAAAGGCAGCCGCCAAGGCGGGCGGAAAACAAAGGCCGCAGACGCTGAGGTCTGGATTGGGCCTGAGCTGCTCCAAGGAGGCCCACCCCGTAGCCCGATGCACTCCCGGTGTCCATACCTGCGTGGGTAAGGGCGGGACGCACCAACTCTCGGATGCACGGACTTGATTTCGCAGGGCCGAGCGAGCCTGGGCCCGCGTCGCCTTTTATAGTCGGCCCGAACCATGACGCCTAGGGCGCGGGGAGGTGGGCGGACTTACTGAGCGGTCGGGTCCACTGCAAGAAGCGCAGGGGAGGGGAAGCGGAGCCGGCCGCGACCACGCGCCCCCGAGTGGCGGGGGGAGACGCGCAGCCTCAGGCCCAGACTACTGCACCCGACTGCGGGGGGTGATGCGCGGGGGCTCCTCTCTGGAGCGCGCCGGGGTCGGTTGGAGTCCGGCATGGCCCGGAGCCAGGCGGCACTGCTACTGCCGTCTCTGATGCTCCTGCTGCTGGTGACCCCTGCCCAGGTCTCCCCCGACTACCAGTACTTCGGCCAGCAGGGCGAAGGGGACACCTGGGAGCAGCTGCGGCTGCAGCATCAGGAGAAAGGTAACTGCAGGCCGCGGATATGACAGTGCAGAAAGGAGCCTCATTTGCCACCACTTCACCAACTGGCTGCAGATAGACCCTCCTCCAGGGACTTCAAGTTTCTGCCTTGCTGAGCCCTGGGAGTACCTCTTGGGCTGGTTACTTTGGCTTAGTTTTCTCATCTGTAAATTAAGATAGTGTCTTTAAGCAGTTTACACGGGGAGAGGGGAGTGGACAGGCAATAAACACCAACGCAGACGTGTCCATAAATTCATGGATAAGTGCTGAGAAAGGCGGAGATAGAGAAGGCAGGGCGCATGTAAACTTCTAAAGTCAGAGAAGGCCTCCTGGCTGAAGATAGGTAACCAGTGCAGCCGGAATGACAAGCAAAAAGCCCCAAAAGCGAAGATTTAAGGGGAGGAGCGCGCCAGGGAGTCGGAGCAGCAAGTGCCAAGATGGAAAGAAGAATGGAAAGAGGGCAGTGTTGTCTGGCAGAGGCTTGATGAGGGCATGAGGTGTCAGAACTTTCTGAGCCCCAGACTTGAGCTAAGACCTGTCAGCTAGGGCCGTAGGGAAGAGTCTGTAAAAGAACAGTTGTAAAGGGTGTCTGATAAATGTAGCTGCTTTAAAAGTGGTCAAGATAATTGTTTTTGTATTCGTGCATAGCCAGGGGCTTTAAGTACCTTCATTATGCTAATTATGTCCTTTAATTTACCACCTGGTAACACCGCTGGTCAGGTGACACTGGACTTGTTGGACCGGCTTGTGATCACACCTTTGTAGGGAGAAGTCACCTTCAGACGGTGGCCACCATGTGTGTTGTACCACACCCCCAACTGGACAGGCAGGCACAGATGGGAAGTGTCATTTGGCAGCCCCTCTGGGCCACTCACCAGATGTGTGAGCTTGGAAAGGTGGGTTGCTCTTCTTAGGGCTCAGTTTCCCCACCTGGGAGTAGTGGGAAGATTAGAGATCATCTGTGTCGGGATAGGTGGCAGACAAACACAGATGAGCAAACATGCTGTTGTTCAGTCGCTCAGCCGTGTCCGACTCCTTGCGACCCCACGGGCTGCAGCACGCCAGGCTTCCCTGTTCTTCACCATCTCCGGAAGTCTGGAACTGTTATTTGTTAGTATCTTTCTCTTCCGCCCTCCTTAGAATGGGATATAGGTTCCCCCTCTACCTGGCCCTCCATCCCTAGAATTGGAAGACTCTGTCCTGGGCCCTTGGGGAAAGTGGCGCTGTTTCTGCGACCTGGGCAAGCAGGAGCGCAGCCGCGAGGTTGTGGGCACTTCGCCGGGCCCGGTGTTCATGGACCGCGAGAATCTGGTGCAGGTGCGACCCTGCCGGCAACGGGATTGTTCATCCTGCGAGCCGAACGACTGCGACTGGAGGCTCTGAGCCCGGGTGAGCAGCGGGCGTGGAGGAGGCGCCCCCCGCCCGCGGCGGGCTGGCTTCTCCGGGGCCCTGAGTCCCCAGGGTGGGAGGGGACAGAGGACGGGCTGTACGTGGGGGCGCGGGTACGAGGCGGGCATCGGGAAAAGGAACACTAAATCTGGGGCTTGGGCAGAGCGTGGGAAAGCAGAGCTGAGTCAGGAGTTGCGAGCCCCGCTGATATCCGAGGAGAAAGGAAGATAGACGGTGGGGGTGGGGAGGGGAAAACGGAGATGAAGGAACAGAAACCCACAAGCTGAGGGCGTGAGCCCTGATGAAAGCAGAAAATAGAACGAGATGCGTTCGTTGGAACAAATCCAGGAGGCGTGCTCCTCGCTAAGACGTGAGAAAAAGAAGGAAAAGAGCAGAGGAGGGGACGGGGGCTTGAACCCTGAGTTTGGCAGGGGGAGGGAGCCTGCGTGATGGACGAAGACTCTAAGCTGGATTCTGGAGAAGTCTGGGGTCTCTGTTCAGAGGCAGAGGAGGCTTAGCCCGAAAGAGAAGATACAAAGCGGGCGGGGGGGTAGGGGGGAGGCGCTTCCGGTGAGCTGCGAGGGAGTTGGGGGTTCCAAGTCCGAAGCTTTGAGTCCAGTGGGAGCCAGAATCCCTAGTATAGGGGGCTTAGACTGTGTGGCGCTCCAGGGACCTCGAACACAGGAGGGCCTGAAACCAGATGGGGGCCGGGAACTCATTGATGCGGACACCGAATTCTTGAGTCTAGTGGTATTTGACCTTCTAGGCTTTGACGGGGCTTCCCAGGTGGCTCAGACGGTAAAGAATCCTCCTGCACTGCGGGAGACCTGGGTTGGGAAGATCCCCTGGAGGAGGGCGTGGCAACCCACTCCAGTATTCTTGCCTGGAGAATCCCATGGACAGAAGAGCCTACAGTCCAAGGGGTCGCAAAGAGTCGGATACGACTGAGCGACTAAGCACAGCACAAGCTTTGATGAGGTCGAGTCCTTCAAGTCTCCCCCTCAATTTCCCCTTTTCTGCCCACTAGCCGCGGCGGGAGGCGCTCCGGGCACACCGGGGCGGAGCTTGGAAAGCGACACCGCCCACCCGGTTCCCCAAAGGCGGAGCTCGCTGGTCAGCCTCGGAAACTACAATTCCCAGGAAGCCGCACGGCAGCGGCGTCGGCGAAGGCTGCGCAAACGTCAACGGCGGTTGGCGCGTTGGGGGCGTGTCCTGCGTGCAGATAGGTCGAGAGCTGGCCCTGCTGCGGGGCCCGCGGAAAACGCGCGGAGAAACCTTTCTTTGCAGACTTCATTACGACGGCTGGTGGCGGCGGCCGAGGCGGCATGGATCTCAGCGAGCTGGAAAGAGACAATACGGGCCGCTGTCGCCTGAGTTCGCCTGTGCCTCCTGTGTGCCTCAAGGAGCCCTGCGTCCTGGGCGTCGATGAAGCGGGCCGGGGCCCGGTGCTGGGTGCGCCCCCGGGGCCGGGTGGGGGAGGGGCGTGATAAGGGGGATGCAAGTTGCAGTGGAACCGGGACTGGAGTTGCACCAGACTCTGGGGAGGGGAGTGATAGTGGTGATGGCGATGGCATTGGTTATGGCACCGAAAAAAAAGCGGTGATGATGGAATAGAGGTGGCGGCTTTCACGGGCTCACTGGACTCCCTTTCCCCCAGGCCCCATGGTCTATGCTATCTGCTATTGTCCCCTGTCCCGCCTGGAGGATCTGGAGGCCCTAAAAGTGGCAGGTGAGCACTGGGGTGCGTCTAGGGAGGGGGTTCCTGTGCATGGGCACGGGTGGGTGTAGGCTGGAGGAGGAAAGCAGGAACTCGGAGAACCAGCCCCTCCCCTTCTCTCCCAACCCTCCTCCCAGACTCAAAGACCCTGTCGGAGAGCGAGCGGGACAGGCTGTTTGCGAAAATGGAGGAGGACGAGGACTTTGTGGGCTGGGCACTGGACGTGCTGTCTCCAAACCTCATCTCTACCAGCATGCTTGGGCGGTGAGGGGTCCCGAAAGATTGGGGGGGGGGCGGGAGGAGGGGCAACCAGAGTGGATTGGAAGGGATGGGTGGCTGGAACGAAGTTGACTGGGTTCTGTCCACCACCACAGGGTCAAATACAACCTGAACGCCCTCTCTCATGATACAGCCACTGGACTAGTGCAATTTGCGTTGGACCAGGGTGTGAACGTGGCCCAGGTGAGCTAACTGTCGGATTGCCCCCATTTGATCATCTCAGGATAAAATAGGAGTGTAGGGGGAAAAAAAAATAGGAGTGTAGAAGTGCAGTGGATGACTCTGCATCAGACATACCTAGAATATCTCAGGAATGTGCGTTACTGCTGCTGACATCCTACTGTTTTTATTTTATTTTATTGTCTTTTTTTTTTTTTTTGCCACACTGCATGGCATGTGGGATCTTAGTTCCCCCACCAGGGATTGAACCCACACCCACCCCTGCATTGAAAGCGTGGAGTCTTAACCACTGGACTACCAGGGAAGTTCCCCCAACTGTTTTTTCTACCCCAAATGTTTGCTCCACTGAGGACCATTGTGGAGCCCCCAGCCTCACCCCCATCTAATCTCTCTCTCTATCCTAAAAGTTCAGTATCTAGAACGAATCCTACATGTTTGCTTGCTCCATCCTCTTCCAGCCCCCTCCCCTACCACGTGCTCCCCACACAGCAGACAGTCATTTATATTTTTGGAATGTAAATCTTGACATTTAATTTTCTGAGCACCGTGGGAATTATGAAAACCCACAGGCAAGTGAAGAAATGAGCTGAAGTCTCCAGAGAGAAATAGAAGTTGGCACTGCAGCCAGTGCTCTGAGGCAAAGAACAGACTGTTTTGAGAGAATCAGAAGGGCAAGTACACTTGAGATAGGGAATGTAACGGGAGAGGCCTTGCTGAGGAGGTGGCTCAGGTCCAGGACTCTCGGTGCAATGCTGTGGAGACAAACAAGGACCTTTGCCTATGTAAAGAATGTGGAGCTGCCTATGCAATGCTGGGACAGACAGACAAGGACCTTGCCCTCAGGGTTCATGACCAGGTCAGGGGAGACAGATGGGCAGCTGGTAAGCAAATAATAAAGGTGCTTTCGAGAATAATAATAGCTGTGGAGATCACTTGTCCTGTTACTTTTCTGACCCCATTTCTGTTCCAGCCATGTGGTGTCTACTGCTGTCCAGAGTACTTGGCATGGTCCGGCCTCAGGACCTTTGCACTGGCTGTTCCCTCTGCCTAGAACACTCTTTCTTAGACTTCCCCACGGCTCATTCCCTCATCTCCTTTAGGCCTTTATTTAGATGTCACCACCTCAGAGTACTTTTCCTAAAATACCCCCAAACTGTTGAAAATTATAACCTCAGTCTCCCCTATCCTTTTTTATTGATCCTCTTTCCTGTCTCTGGCCTTCACCAGGGTATCTACTCCGGCATGCTTACTGCTGTGTCTCCAACACCTCGAACAGCCTGTGGCATGCAGTAGGTGCTCAATAAATGTAGAATAGATATAGTGTGATCAGGGAAAGCCTCTTTGGGAGGTGATGTTTGAGCTGAGACCTCTGAGATAAAGATGCAGCCTGGGCCTGGTCATGAGCTGAGAGAAGAATATTCCAGGCAGCGGGAACAGCAAATGCAAGGACTGTGAAGCTGGGTCATCTGCACAGTTGTTTTTTCTGGATGTTTGTTGACTGAATACATTTCTCTCACCATGGCAGGTGTTTGTGGACACCGTGGGGCTCCCAGAGACATACCAGGAACGACTGCAGCAGCGTTTTCCTGGCATTGAGGTGACAGTCAAGGCCAAGGCAGATGCCCTCTACCCCGTGGTCAGTGCTGCCAGTATCTGTGCCAAGGTTAGGCCCCCACTGGCCATGGCCAGCTCCCAGCATCCCCCTGGGCAAGGAGGCAGGCGTGGCTGCTTCACAGTGTCTGTTGGAGATCCCAAGTGCCTGTTTTGCCCACAGGTGGCCCGAGACCGGGCTGTGAAGAACTGGAAGTTTGTGGAGAAACTGCAGGACCTGGACACTGATTATGGCTCGGGCTACCCCAATGGTGAGCAGATGGCAGCCACAGCAAACGAACAAGGCGGGCCTGGCGTGCTTCTGAGGTTTTCTAAGTTGTTCCTCTCAGCCTACTCTGCAGCAGAAGAGGCTGAGGCTCAGATCGGGCTTCCACTTGCTTACGAGTGGTAGCGCTGTATTCCAGCTGGCGGGCCCCTCTTCCCTTCTGCCTCCCTCCCTCCCTCTCTGCTGCCTCTCTGGAGCTCCAACGAAGCACGGAGGCTGGTGGTGGACCTAAGGGGCAGAGTAAGGGGTACCAGTTCCTGTCCAGTGGCCCCAGCTTGAATCCATTGTTTGTCTTCATTAAGAGGCTCAGTCTCCCTGTTTGTAAGGTGGAAATGACTGTGCCCCATCCCCAGTAAACTCTGCTGAAGACACACAAGGGCAGAGGCGATGATTCAGTGGCTGGGGACAAGGAACCCTTTGGCACTTGGGTGGGGCCACCTAGCAAGTCTGGGATTGTACCTAGGTGAGGCCAAAGGGAGGAAAACCAAGTCTAGGCCAAACACAGACTGGGCGGTGTTCATTGCTTACTGGGCACCTCATATGTGCCTTGCAGAGCCAAGCCCTGGGGATTTAGCCATGAGCAAGGCAAGCAGGGACCTCCCAATGCCCACTGAGTTGGTGGACATGGGAAAAATGGGCATTAACCTTATGGTCCATAAATGATGGTTCAGTGCCTGTTGTCCTTGGGGAGGTAAGCGAGATGACCCAGAGGCAGTCTCCCTGAACTTCACCTTGAGCACCTGTTCTCAGGCAGAGGGTCAGTGGGAACAGCCTGTGCAAGGGTCCCGAGACAGGAAGATGTCTCAGACAGTGATGCGTCCCTCGGGTACTCAGGAAGAGGCCTGAGATGAGGTGGTGGGCCCTCAGAGGCCAAACTGAGAAGCACGGCAGGGCTCAGGGCTCTCCCATTGTCCCCCCGACCCTGCCCCCAGACCCCAAGACGAAAGCCTGGTTGAGGAAGCATGTGGACCCCGTGTTCGGCTTCCCCCAGTTTGTCCGCTTCAGCTGGCGCACAGCCCAGAGCATCCTGGAGAGTGAGGCGGAAGACGTGATGTGGTAGGTGTCTGGAAGCGAGGGTGAGAGGCCAGGGCTCTGCCTTGCCTGGGAGGACTGATCCCCCAGAAGTTGGAGCCACCACCTCTTTCCCACAGGGAGGACTCGGAGACTGGGAATCAGGAGGGACCCGGGAAGATCAAGTCCTACTTCAGTGAAAGCCCCCAAACCTGCCCCCGCCTCCCCCATCGGTACTTCCAGGAGCGGGGCCTGGAGTCAGCCACTGTCCTCTAGAAGCCAGCCTGGACCCCCTTTACCTGCCCCCGCCACACCCGTCCCTCCTCGGTTCGTGATTAAAATTCTTCAAGGAAAGCTAAGTGTGGGGATTCTACTTTGGGATAGAAGTATGCTCTGTCTGCATCTGGACCCAGTCGCTGACTTCTGGAACCTAAACAGGGTGGGTATTGGTTGATTTAATTGGACTTTTTAAATGCCTAGTAGGTTTGTTTGATGCAGAATTAGGAACCAGTACACTGAGAAGCTAAGGGCTTCCCAGGTGGCACTAGTGGTAAAGAACCCGCCTGCCAATGCAAGCGACATAAGAGACACGGGTTTGATCCCTGGGTCAGGAAGGTCCCCTGGAGGAGGGTATGGCAACTCATTCCAGTGCTCTTGCCTGGAGAATCCGTAGACAGAGGAGCCTGCTGGGCTCCAGTGAGAAGGTCACAAGGAGCTGGACACAACTGAAGTGACTGAGGGTCCCACCACATACCACACTGAGAAGCTTCCCTCCCACACTACCCTCCAGCGTCCTGGTGGACTCAATGGGGTGTCTCAGTCCTTTGTGGCCTGTTGTAACAAAATACCACAGGCTGGTGCTTTATAAACAATAGATACTTATATTTAACAGTTCTGGAGGCCGGAAGTCCAAGATCAGGGTACCAACCCAGTTGGCTTTGGGGAGGGCCCTCATCCAGATCACAGACTGCCATCTCCCTGGGTTCTCACGTGAAGGGGTGAGGAATCTGTGGGATCCCTTTTATGAGGGCACTAATCCCACCCATGAGAGAGCTCCACCCATGTGACCTTGTCCCCTCCCAAGGTTTAAGGTGTCCTCCTTACACCTAACACCATCTTGTTTGGGGGTTAGGATTTCAACCTGAGTTTTGTGGGGGCTGTCCAAACATTCGGACCATAGCAGGTGCCTCCTAGGCCCTTCTGGAGATACCCTGGCGTGTTACTCGTGTATACACAGATACATTGTAACTGAGGTTCTGTTTTTAAACAAATGAAAACACAGTGTACTTTAGATAGTATACATAGCTGTTTTTAAAATAAATTGTCTATTATTTATGTTTTGGCTGTGGCTGGGTCTTCCTTACTATGCTTTTCTCTAGTTGGGGCAATCAGAGGGTACTCTCTAGTTGTGGAGCTTGGGTGTCTCATTGCAGTGACTTCTTTTGTTGTGGAGCACGGACTCTAGGACACATAGACTTCAGTAGTTGCAATTCTCGGGCCCAGTTGCCCTGTGGCATGTGGAATCTTCACACAACCAGGGATCGACCCGTGTCCCCCACATTGGCAGCTGAATTCTTAACCAGTGGATGACCAGGGAAGTTCAGGCATGGCTCTCTTTACCACTTACATCTTAGGATAATTCAAATATGTGTCCAAAAGCCTTTCTTGTTCTGATAACAGCTGCAGATTCCTCTGTGGTGTGACTGTCCTGTTGTTTATTTAGCACCTCTTGATAGACCTTGAGTTGTGCCCCAGCTTTCTGTTAAACTTGTACGGCAGGGAATGACAGGTTTGACGTCACCTTCTCACATTGCTATGTCTGTAGGAACAAATTTCCAGGGGTAGGTTTCCTGGGTTAAAGGGACTGTGTGATTTCTAAGTTTTTTTGTGTGTCTGTGTGATTTCTAATTTGAAGAGATATATCCAAATACCCTCTGTGAAGGCTTGTGCTCAGTGGCACTCCCACAAACAATGTAAGTGAGCATTCGTTTCCCTCACAGCCTTGCCAGCACCAGGACGAGTTTATCTCACTCCGTGAGAAGTTTGGAAGTCAGGAGCTCAACATTAAATACTATCTTTGTTTTTCTGTTTTTAAAAAAAATATTTATTTTGTTGCATCCGGTCCTAGTTGTGACATGTGGGATCTTTCGTTGAGGCCCATAGGCTTCTCCCACTGTGGCACAAGGGGTCAGCAGCTGCAGTGTGCAGGCCTAGAGTGCAGTGTGTGGGACCCTAGTTACCCAACCAGGAATCAAACCCATATGTCTTGCATTTGAAGGCAGATTTTTGACCAGTGGACCACCAGGGAAGTTGCAAAGATGTTCTTTTAGTCCATCTTCTATTTTGCTAATTTAGGCGGTTTTTGCCTCTCATGATCCCAGGATGGCTGCCACAGCTCTAGACATCACATCCCAACCTTCAGAGGCCTCATCTACAAGCAGCCACCTTTTCTCTTCCTGGCTGAAAGTAGACTGCTTCTATGCCTGAAGCAGTCTGTTGCCAGGGGAATGGAATATCTGGGGTAAAGGGTTAAATACTGATGCCTGGGGGTAGGGAGAGACTCCGTATCTGCCCATTCTCCCAACTCTTGATCCCCAGACACACACCTTGACTTGAACAGTAGGATTTTATTTCACCCTTTTTTTTTTTCTTTTTTAATGTCACCTTTTTGGCGTTTTTTTTGGCTGCATGGCTTGTGGGATGGCTGCATGGCTTGTGGGATCTCTGTTCCCTGACCCGGGATTGAACCCAGGCCACAGCAATGAAGGCACCGAGTCCCAGCCACTAGACTACCAGGGAACTCCTGAAGAGTGAGGTTTTAGCAGAAAAGGAGAGAAAATATTGGGCTCTGCCAGTTCTGTGTCGGGGCATGTGGGGTCTTTTTTGGGAGGGCTGTGCTGGGATCTGACAGTACATGAACTTCTCTAGTTGTGGTGCATGAGCTTAGTCACCCCATGGCCTGTGGAATCTCAGTTCCCCCTGGCCAGGGCACTGAGTCCCCACAGGCCGTGACCAGGTGTGGAACTCACATCCCCTGCATTGGAAGGTGGATTCTTTTTTTTTTTTTTTAAACAGGACAAATCCACACTTTTATTTATTTTCAAGAAGTTTAAATCCTCGAAGGGTACAGCATCACACAGATCCTGTGTCCAGTGGCCTTAGCAGGAAGGTTACTTTGGAATTTGGCACGAACCATGCCACTGTTTCCATGAGCTCGAGTTATCTTTCCCCAGATTACTCTGATTTTGTTAGGTTTTCCACCAGGAGTTACTGTGTTGTTCTTTGCTCTGTACACATAAGCATATCTCTTGCCTAGATAGAATTCAGTTTCATCTTGAGCATATACACTGGAAGGTGGATTCTTAACCACTAGACCTCCAGGGAAGTCCCAGCATGTGGGATCTTTAGTCCCAGCATGAGAGCTCTTGATTGTGACATGTGGGGTCTAGTTCTCTGACCAGGGGTCATACCTGTCCCTCCTGCATTGGGAGTGTGGAGTCTTAGCCAATGGACCACCAGCCAAGTCCCAGCTCTTCACTTTAGTAAATGCTCTGATGGCAAAAAAAAAAAACCAAACAAACCAGGGCATTGTGGGAGTATTATTTATGGAGTGTGTATTATTAGTCAGCCAAGGCTGCCATAGGAAAGTATCTTACACTGGGACACTCAACCAACAGAAATTAATTTTCTTACAGTTCTGGAGGCAGAGTCCAGGATGAAAGTGTTGGCAGGGTTGATTTCCGAGATCTCTCTCCTTGACTTGTAGACGGCCATCTCCCCTCTCATCTCCTCCGTCTGTGTGTGTCCTAATCTCGACTTACAAGGACTCCAGCCCTGTGAGATCAGGGCCCACTCATAGGACTTCATTTTACCTTAACTATCTCTTTTTTTTAAAAAAAAGATTTATTTGTTGATTTATTTTATCTTTGGCTGCGCCGCGTCTGCCGCTGCACAGAGAAGCTACTCTATTTTCAGTCCGCAGAGCGCGGGCTCTGGGATGCGCCGGCTTCAGCAGTTGTGGCTCGAGGGTTCTGGAGCACTGGCTCGGTAGTTGGATTGCAGGGGCTTAGTTGCCTCACGGTGTGTGGGATCTTCCCAAAGCAGGGATTGAACCTGTGTCCCCTGCATTGGCAGGCGGATTCTTAACCACTGGACCACCAGGGAAGTCCTTTAACTGCTTCTTTAAGGTTTATCTATAAATACAGTTACATTCCGAGGTACCAAGTCTTAGGGCTTCAACATGACTTTGGGGGGTGGGTGGGCGCAATTCAGCTCTTGAGAGAACACCCCTGCACTCTCTGAGTCCTGTGCTGGACATGGGGAAGCCGGGGCTGACCAGTCACGGTCACAAGCCTCCACTGAGGACCTGAGAGCTCCTGGAGTGCACATGGGGAGGCCAGCTCCAGCCTGGAGCTCCTGGCCTGGAGCCTGAAGATCTGACTGGCTGAGATCTGAAGTGTGAGAGGGGTGAAACAATAACAGAAGGGTAAAAGCGGTTCTGGGCTGCTCTGGTGGCGCAGGTGGTAAAGAATCCACCTGCAATGCAGGAGACCTGGGTTCGATCCCTGGGTTGGGAAGATCCCCTGGAGAAGGGAGTGGCCACCCACTCCAGTCTTCTTGCCTGGAGAATCCCATGAACAGAGGAGCCTGGCGGGCTGCAATCCATGGGATCGCAGAGTCGGACCCGATTGCGCGACTTAAGTACACATGCCTGCAAAGGTTGTTCTAGGCAATGGGGATAGCAAGTGCAGAGACCCCAAGATTGAGAAGATCTGGCTGCAAGAAGGCCCCAGAGTAGAGGTGATGAGGGCAGACCTTGGGAAGAGCTGGGACCACCCTGTTTTTCTGCCTAAAAACATCTATTTACTCCTCTGCCAGTGGCTATCACTGTAGTTGCAAAGTATAAAACCTGACTCCATTTGCTTTTGTTTGTTTTGTGTGTGTGTGTGTGTTTTTTAATTCACCTGCGAGGCTTGTGGGATCTTAGTTCCCTGACCAAGGATCAAACCCACACCCTCTGCAATGGACGCGCAGGATCTTAACCACTGGACCACCAGGGAAGTCCCAACATGATTCAATTTGTAATTCTGCCCTTTTCTATGCCATAAATGTTGAGTATCTCAGACTTGCCTCTTTCCCTCTCAGAATTATTAGAAGTACAGTTCATCTTGAAATCATTGGACCTCTGACTACTGATGGAATTTGGCTTGATAAGAAGGAGAAACTGTTACCCTTTTTCCTCCCAGCTGGTGACAAGCAGAAACTAGGGGGTACTGTAAAGCTGTAACTCACAAATATTTCTTCCAACAAAAGTCTAGTGGGACTTCCCTGGTGATCCAGGGGATAAGACTTCACACTCCCAGTGCAGGGAGCTTGCGTTTGATCCCTGGTCGGGGGAACTAAGATTGCACATGCCGCAACTAAGACCCTTGCATCACAACTACTGAGTCCGTGAGCTCCAGAGCCCATGCATCATAACTTAGGACGCCTGCATCCCACGAGGAAGGCCACCAGCATCAAGTTCACCAGGCGGTTATAAATGTGGAGTCCAGCTGTGTGGAACTAAGGCAACCTCCCTAAGACTGTGATAGAGAACCAGGAGAATCACAAAGAAGATGGAATTGGGTGGAAAATCAAGAATAAATATGTGAATGGAAAAAAAAAGAAATGTGGAGTTCAGGGTTCCACATCAGACCTGCCTAAGATCCCCAAGGTTTTATTTAAACTGAAGTTGACAACAACGTTTGCTTCTTGAAAGTTTCAGATGATCACTCCCACACTCCTCAGTACACCCTTATGGGTTATTCCTCTGATTCCCTCTCATTCATCCCCTTCTACCCATTTTTCATTTCCTGTCCCAAGGTCCTCCAATCTCACCCTCCCCCTGGCTTGCTTGTTGGCCTGCAGAGTGTCAGTCGAATGGATCATCCCCCTGTGTCCCCCCCTCCACTTAAACCTGTGGCTCTCACACCCCTCATTAATTGGTCTAAGTGCCTTTGCCTAGCATTCAGGGCCTTCCATGTTCTGACCCCAACTTCCATGCTCTGTTCCAGGCTTTCTGAGCAGCTGGGAGTTCCCAGAACCTGAAACCCTCAGGCCTTCTTGAAATGCACTTCCCCATGGCCTGGCTGGCACTCCTTCAAAGGCTTACCTCACTCCTCTTCCTTAAATGCCTGTTTCTCTTTGTCACAATAGCAGTGCATATAAAACATCAGCAACAACGGTGATTATGGATGATGTCTACATTTATTGAGTGTTAATTACATGCCTGGCATTTTCTAAGCATTTTATTTGATATCCCTACCATTAGGAGGTGGAGCGTAGAATAAGAGCTGTCTTTAATGACTCAATGAATAGAAAGCAGAGGTGACACTGTGTGACTTTTTTTTTTTTTTTTTTAGCCACACTGCATGGCTTCTGGGATCTTAGTTCCCTGACCAGGGGTCGAACCCAGGCCCTGGCAGTAAAAGTGCCGAGTCCTAACCGCTGGGCAGCCAGGGAATTCCAACATTGACTTCTACAACTTGCTAATCAAAAGTGAGACAATTTCCACATTCCACATGACTCTCTTGGGACACGTACCTGTAGAACCCAATGCCTTGTTATGAGGAAGCCCAAGCCACTGGGATGAATCGTGTGTAGCTATTCTGGCTAACAGCCCCAGCTAAGGTTCAAGGCAAGGGCCAGTACCAACCACCAGATACGTGAATGTGATTCCAGTCCTATCCACAATCTGAAGTGGCATGAGAGAACTTGAATGAGAGAGCCACCCAGCTGAGCCCAGGGAAAGTCCGGAACCATGAAAGATAATAATGGTTGTTTTACACCACTAAGTTTGGAGTTATTTGTTACACAGTATTGCATAACCATAACAATTTGTATTAACTCATTCAGTTCTCCCAGTAACCCTATTAGGGGAACAATTATGATCCCCATTTTACAGATGAAGAAACTGAGGCCCATAAATGCTGGGCAGTATGCCCAAAGTTACAGAATGAGTAAACAGTAGAACTGAGGTTTGAACCCAGGTGGATATACTACAGAGTCAAGGTCATAGCCACCGTTCTCTGTGGTCCATATACCATGACTCCCTGACACGCACTCCTTCCACTTCTCCTGGTTCCAGCCCTTAAATTTCTTTCAGGAGGAGGCAACCGCTCCCCCATACATCAGTTCACGTGGCTCAGATGGAACACATCTCACCATGGACTTTAGGTACAAACAAAACCTAGGTCAGAGAGCACAGCATCTCTCCTGACACAATTATTGACTTTAGTGATAGGCTTATGAGGAGAGTGGATCAATGAGAGCCAGCCCTGGAAACTTTGTTGGTTTTACAGAGAAGTAGGCCCATTTTTTTCACTAAAATCATGGAGTTGCTGGCCCGTCTTTGCTAATGTGAGGAGATCCTGACTCAGAGTACAGCCAAGAGAAAGCAAAACAAAACAGATTCCTAACACCATTTAAGAACCCAGATACAGCCATTCCTGAAACTTATCACTGTCTTGGCTAAAGGCTTTGACTTTTGTTTTTGGCCATGCCTCAGGATCTTAGTTCCCCAATCGGATCAGACCCGTGCCTTCTGCAGTGGAAGTGCAGAGTGTCAACCACTGGATAGCCAGGGAAGTCCCTAAGAGCACTTTGAACTGAGTTTGTCTCTGACATCTGAAAGATGCTAGTCTGCTACTCTCTCAGTAGGACACTTTACTTCTTATGCTATTTCATCTTCCTTGAGGGCAAGGAGTGGGCCTGATATATCTTAGCACAGTGCCTGGATACATCCACCAATCTTGTGCTATTGAACAGAAGTAAAAGAGATATCCTAAAGGGATATCAATCCTAAAGGAAATCAACCCTGAATATTCATTGGGAGAACTGAAACTGAAGCTCCAATACTTTGTCCACCTGATGCAAAGACTCAGTGGAGAAGACCCTGATACTGGGAAAGACTGAAGACAAAAGGAGAAGGGGGTGGCAGAGGATGAAATGGTTACATGGCATCACTGACTCCATGGACATGAATCTGAGCAAACTCTGGAAGATAGAACCATGGAGCCTGGCATACCACAGTCCATGGGGTCGAAAAGCGTCAGATGCGACTGAACAGGATCCTGGTGACTGAACAACAAAAGGGATATTGCCCCTGTTTTCCAGGTGAGGAAACTGTCTCTCCTGTGGATAAGGAGGAGGATTAAAGACTAATGCTTACAACCCAAATCATGAGTCTGAGTCCAGTCCTTTGCTTTAGGTCCAGGAATTTCATTTGTTTTGGCTGAACCTCGAAGCGTGCAGGATCTTAGTTCCCAGACCAGGGAGTGGACCCCCTGCAGTGGAAGCTCAGAGTCTTAACCACTGGACAACCAGAGAAGTCCCCAGGAATGGCATTTGGGAGAAATGGAGGAAGGAAAGAAGACACCTCTGGGGCTCCTTAATCAGAGGTGAATGCCATAAAAGGGTGTCGGGAGGTATGTACAAATCAAGAAGCTTGGTGGGGCTGGTGGCACCCTGTGGGCGAGCACACCTCTCCTTGTCGGTCCTTCTTCTGGACCCCTTCCCCATTTCTGGCATCCGAATATTCCAAGTTGTGAGATGCTCCAGGGTATAGACCAGCCCTCATTTACATGCTCACACGAATCAGTTGCTCTAACTTTAGGACCTGAGGATTCAGGAGACGCTTTCTGGCAACTATCCTTTCCACCCATTTCCCCCAAGAAGTAGTCACATCATGTGCTCTAACTGGAAAGTTTATTTAGGGGGTAGAGGGAAAAAATGAACTATTAATACACTTGGGTTATTTCTCAAATAATCTGGGGAGGGGCGAGTCTTTGGGGACCTTGGGAGGAAGGATGGGACTCTGGAAACTAGAAGGCAGTGAGGGACAGGGGTGGGACGCTGGCTGTCTTGAGGGGCAGGGGCGGGGTCGGGGGTGGGGGAGAGTAAGCGTATCTTCCATTTAGGTCCGGGCGCCCCCTAGGGGCCGCTGCCACTTCCACTGCCACTCCCGCTGCTCGCGGATTCCAGGATCCCGGTGCGAGAGCGGCGGGAGCGCCTGAAAATGGTTCCCCAGGCCCTTCGTGCATGTCTGGGACGCGGCAACATCGAGACGGAAATGTTGAGGCAGTGACCAGAGCCGGGATCCGCCACTGGTAGCGCGTCGCCCAGAAGCGAGAGGCAAAGCTCCGCTCCGTCTGCAAAAGTCTGGGGCGAAGGAGTGGACTCAGGACCTGAGTGGGTGGAGTCCAGAGACCCAGGGGGCTGTGGGAGATCTTAGGGTAGGCTATTCCCACTTCTGGGTCCTCCCGGGAGTCTGGGGGGCAGGACCATAGTGGGGGTGAGGCCATGGGGAGGGCGAGCTCTTACGGGGGAGCCTCAGGGGGCTCCAGCGGGGGGACATCCAGATTAAGACTGAGGCCTTGGGGAAGGAGACTCCGGTTTCTGGGCCTTTCCCTGGACTGTGGATGTGTGCTAGTCGCTCAGTTGTGTCCGATTCTTCGTGACCCCTCGGACTATGATCCGCCAGGCTCCTCTATCTCATGGAATTCTCCAGGCAAGAATACTAGAGTGGGTTGCCATTCCCTTCTTCAGGGGAACTTGGCAACCCAGGGATTGAACCCAGGTATCCTATATTGACAGGCAGATTCTTTACCATCTGAGCCACAAGATAAGCAGAGGTCAGGGAGAGGGCAAATCTGGACTCAGTGGCTCTTAGGGATGCTACAGATATACCTACTATGGAGACTGGGCTGTGGAAGGGGAAAGGTGGGAGTGGGGGTTTTCGGTGGCCACGCCAGTCCAGACTCCGGGACCTAGACGTGTTAACTCAGGACACCGTAAGGGTAGGTGTCAGTCTCCTCCCTGGTTCCTCTGCCCCATGCTCACCTGCCCATATGTAGTGCAGCCAGGCTCGCAGCCCCTCTTTTCTAGGAGTGGGAGCCAAGTCGGGCTGCAGGTGACATCAGTTTCGCAAGTGGCAAACCTGGGAATGGTGTGTGGAGAGAAGGAGGTGGAGAAAGGCTCCACGGCAACGTCTTTGTGGGATTCCTGCACTCCAAGGCTTTGCCCCATTTGTCTCTCACCAGATCCAGGCCCTGCCTCTTAGAACCACGTTCCTACAGAAACCATTCCCTAGATTTCAACCTGCCCCATATTCTCTACATTTACCCAGGACCCTGTCACTTGAGAACTCATTCTTGCCGACCACAGACTCTGTTCCAGGCCAGTCCCAACCTTTTAGCTCCTCTTCTCAATCAAGAGACCCTTCCCTTAAAAAAAAAAAAAAAAAAAAAACCTGCTCCACGGAAGGCTACTCCTCCGTACTGCCAGTCATAGAAGCCAGGGTTTCCACAAGCTCTGCCCCTTTCTTCCTAGCCTCTAAACACAAGGCCTCATCCCTTAGACTTGGAGGCGTTGGACTCATGCCACGCCCCTTCAGGTGCCGGGAGGATCAAAGGGGAGATCCCTAGTTTGGCCCCGCCCAAAATATAGGCCACGCCCCTCAGACACCGCCTCTCCTACCAGGCATCGCAGAGCTCAGAGCAGAGCGGCTGCGTCTGGCGTACCCCCAAAAGCAGCAGGTGGAAGCGACTGCGAAGGGCAGCTTGGAGGCGTACCAGGAAGGATTCGCACCTGGACATCGAGAGAGACAGGACGGATAGGTCAGGATGCGCAGGGACTTTGGCCCCTAGTTGGAGCAACTGGAGCAAAGAACACAGAGAAACCCCCAAGGTGAGTGTACTCACCTGGGGCTCAGCTCCTCGCAGCGCACTGGGAGGAGCCCAGGGTCCGATGCCTCTGGTGGGTTCATCTCTGAGGGAAGAGGCCCACAGAGAAAGGGACTCCAGTGAGTTCCAATCTTGTGTCCCCAGGTAGAGCTGAGGAACCAAGACTTGGGGTCCCTCTGAACTGGGAGACCCTAATTATGTAAGTCCTCCCAAACAAAAATTAAAGACACCTCTCTTGGGATGTAAATGCAGCTTCAATTAGTAATAATCACAAATCAAAATAAGCTTGTCATTTATTACATTTCTGGCAGCGATGTAAGTTCTCATATGGTTACATATGCTCCTTTACAATATCCCTATGAGGTAGATCTGTTATTTCTCCTCCTTACTTAATGGTCCACATGAGGCTCAGAAAGGTTGAGTAACTTGCCCATGGTCACACAGCTATGAAGTTGGAATTTGAACCTAGGCAATTCATGCTCTTTAATCACCACTAGACCCAGGTGCCTCCTTCAGTCACCCTAAATCCCTCTGGTAAGGAAATTCTGGCATTGTTGTGGTTGAGTTGAGGTTTCTGGATGTTAGAGTTTAGGCATAATCTGGAATGCTTACCTTCCAGGTGCAGCCGGTCTGTGCCCAGATTGGTCGCTAGCCTATGGTGTCTCTGTGATCTAGCTGGGAGTGGGTGGCTCCCTCCACAATCCCCCAGCAGCATCCATGCCAGGGTCAGTTGCAGGGCCCAGGCCAAGGCCCTGGGTCGAGTGTGACCCCTGCAGGCCATATCCACCTGAGATGAGAGGTAGCTGGGATGAAGGGTGAGGTTCAGTTGTCCCTTTCTGGTAGCTCAGGGTGGCACTGTCCTGATGCCCAGCCAGGAGACAGTGCCAGGCAGAGCAAAGAATGGGAAGCTGATGAGGAAGCAATAGCCAAACACTCTCAAGTCCCCAGGGGCCACCAAGGCCTGCCTCTGACCCAGGAGCCCCCCATCGGACTCATGTCCCCTCCGTCCCTCCAAGTGCAGATCTCACTCCTGTTTGACCACGGTTCCCCATCTCCCTCCCCCGAAACAATCTCCCAATCTACAGGACCCCAGGCAAACTCCTCCATCCTCTAAGGGGACCTCCCTAGATTTTCCAGTCCCCTCTTCTGTCCAGTAATTCCATCCTCTCCTCTGCCCAGTTTCCTCCCTCCCTCCTTCTTGATCCCTGCTGGCCCCTTTCATGGTCACCTTCTCTCTCTCGGCCCACAATCGGCTTAGGAACCGCCACCCAGGGCTAGACCTTTGGAGCCAACCTTGACTGTGGCAGGACTCGAGTTCTGCCCCTGGGAGCCAAAGTCCCCAGGGCAGTGGGAACTGGGGGTCTGTGAAGACAAGGCAATTCTTTCCCCCTCTCTTCTTCCTCTGGCCACTTCTGGCCACCTCTCACCTGTTAGTCGAACTGGAATTTAGGCCGCTGCTGAGACACCTCAGGGTCAAATCCAGGAAACAGCGACAGCTGAAAGGGGCGTGGTTTGATGCAGGGGAGTGGCTTTCCCTCACCCCTCCCTCTGCTCCAGGTGACCAAAGACCAGAGGATCTGGGGCTCGTGTGTATATACCCTTGTGTTTGTTTTTATGTAGAGCTTGTGGCTTAAACTCTGTATATGTGTGAAGAGTGTGTGTGTGTTGGATGAGGGTGTGTTTGTGTGTCTGTGTATGTACTGAGAGTTTATATGTGTTTGTTGTGTGAGAGTATGTTTATGCAACTCGCTTGGGTTTGTGTGCATGTGTGTGTGTATGTTCAAAATATGGGTAAGGAGATCTGTAAATATTCCAAGCCTAGTGTGTCCAGTTGAGTAAGAGTCAGATAATAAATACTGGGGAGAGGGATGTAGGATGAGGGTAGGTATCCTGCAGAAATACTGAGAATAAGTCGGTGGATAAAAGTTGTTGACTATGAATGTTGACAATGAGTGAATAAGGAGGTATCATGTGTGGAGAGGGTGTGTGTCTCCCTCTAAAATGTGTGTGTGCACACCCCCTTTGAAGTTTCTGTGAATTTTTGCCCCCTGCAAACATTCCCTCAATACATTCAACAAACATTTATTGAGCACTTATGGTATGCCAGCTTCTGGGGATGCAATGTTTTGACTAAGATATGAAAATCCCAATCCTCGTAGAGCTGAAGGTTTAGTGGCAGTGTCCAATAAGAAAAACAGCCCTCCAAAATAACTAAACTAAATAAACTAAAACTAAAAGAAAGAAAGAAAAACAGCCTTCCAGTGAGTGCATGAGTGTGTGTATGTGTGTCCATGTTTTGTGCTGGGAGGATAATGTGTCTGTATTTTGCACACTGTATTTTGTGTGCACCTGGGCTTCCCTTGGTTTGAGTTATGGTTGTGTGTATGCCTGCATATGCTTGTGTTTGTATGTGTTGTGTGTGCCTGCATTGCTGAGTGTGGGTATGTCTGTGTTTTCTGAGTACGTGTTTGGATGTATGTTTGCAGAAAGTCAGTTTGTATGTATATGTGTTTCTGTGTTTGCTTCATATATGTTTGTATGTGTGTGTGTGTTTTCAGAATGGATGTTTTGTAGAGTGTTTCCAGAATGTGTTAATAGGTGTATGCGAGTCTGTTTGTTGCACATGTGTTGGTATGTTCATGTTCATATGTAAGCTTGCAGAGTGTGTGTGTGTCTGTGCTCGTAGAGTGTGCATGTGTTTTTGTGAGCAGTGACTACTACCACAACCTCTCTCCCTCTCGTCTCGGACTAGTGCAGAGTTTTTGTCTGTCTCTTTTATGGATGTACTCCCCAAAATCCAAACCACTTCTTTGCACACAGTAGGTGCTCAATACCTGTTGAGTAAATGAATCAAGAGGCACTGTCTCCTGGTCCCTGCATGGGTACACGCTGTTGGCTTCAGCAACCAATATACAGTGGACCTCGCCCTCACCCACTCCATCTTGGGGTAGTTCAGGGTGTTCGTGGGTCATATCTGTCCATTTTCTAGGCTGCGCCTCCTGATAACCCTTCCTTTCCCCTGACCTTCGCCCCCAACCCTGCGCTCATAATTTCAGCACGACGGACAGGAGTGCTCCAGATCAGCACCACGGAGAGTTCCCTAGGCTGCAGGCTGAATCAGGGGGCAAGAGAAACGTTCCGACCTTGGAGAAAGAAGTGCGAGGAACAAACTCGGCGAGATGGCAAGACAAACACGCCAACAGAGAGAGAAACAGGTCAAGACAACTCAGGCAAAGGCGCAGAGATGAGTAGAAAAGCGCCTGGGGAACACCAAGAAGCAGACTTCGAAATGGCTCCCTTTGACTGTCAGAGGTCGCTCCGGCCCAGTGACCGCGCCCTCCAGGGCCTTCGAGAAAGTTATGGGCTGAGACCCTTGGGAAGCCGCCACCCCGCCATGCCCTCCAATGTCAACGCTGGGGTGGGGGCTTCCACTCCAACTCTGGGAAGCATTGTTGGCTTGGCCTCAGCTGTAGGAACACTGCGGGGGAGTGGTGAAAATCGCTCCCGCTGCCCCCCTCCCCCAACTACCAGCTAATCGTTCCTATAAATACAGCCCCGCCTAGCCTGGCTTCTTAATCCTGACGATGAGGGAGGGGATCGCTGGGGGCTGGGGCGGCAGGGTTCCCCAAGGAGTCTCTGCTTGGGAAGAGGGTTCGTATATGCCTGTAAGTGTTTTTCTGAGGGGGCATCTCCTATGAGGACGGGTCTCCTAAGTGCAGATACACTCTGTAAGAGACTATCACCTTGGGATATGAAGTCTCGTGGATGGGGGCAATTTCCCATAGAGACTATGGCTTTTATGGGGTCTTTCATTGAAGGTACTCTCAGCAGGCTCCCCAAGTGAATCCCCAGCGCGGATCCTTCTCTACAGAAATGTCTCTTCTTTGGAGGGTGGGCTTTTGAAAGGAAGTGTCACCTCTCAGAGACCATCTCTTTCAGAAATGATTGTCAGGGTGAAAGGAGTTCCTGATTGGAGAGGACCTCCCTGCGGGGACTACCTCCCCGTGGGAATGTGTCTCTCTGAGGGGATCACTGCGGGGAGGGAGTTGTCCGCATAGGGAATGTATCTTAGTAAGCTTGTCTCCCTTGGGGTGTTTCTTGCGTTCGGAGCCTACCCACGAGCATGTCTCTCCCCTGGCACGTCTTTCCTTACGGGGCTCTCACAGTAGCTTGACTTCACTGGGGGCATCTGGAGGCTCCTCCCCCACGCTTTCCCCCTTTCTCCCAGAGCGGGCAGCCTCGGCCAAGGCCGGGCTCGGGCGCCCAGACGCAGTGACGGTGCCGGGTCCGCCCCACTTTGCTCCGCCCCCGCCACCTCCCTCCGGTTCCCCCCGCCCCCCCGCGCCCCAGCCGCCGCCGCCGCGGTCCCCGCGGCTTCTCACTCCCTCCCGCCTCCCTCCTCCCGCCGCTGCCGCCGCCTCCCACCTCCCTCCCGGGGGCCGAAGCCGCTGCCGCCGCCGCCATGGACGATTCCGGCCTGATTCGTCGCCGGAGGCTGCAGGTATGCGGCGGCCCCGGGTGGATGGGAAGGGGTCGGCGTCCTGGGGCGGAGCCCGGGAGGAGGCGGGAGAACTTAACGCCGGGGAGGGCGCAGGCACCCCCTCCCACGGCCTCGGGAAACTACCCGGGGGGAACGCGGTGGCCGCGCGTCCCGCCGCGCTGGGGACCCCGCCCCTCAGGCTCTGCCCGGGGACCCAGGGATCTAACGGAGGGACATGCAGCCTAGCGCTCCCCCTCGAGGATAGCCCAGGGGCGCCCGACCCTTCAGAGGAGATAGGGGGCTCAGATCGAGATCTTTGCCCTGGTGCTCGGCCAGGCTCGGGGTGAGGGGGTGCAGGGCAAAGTTATTGCCCCAGGGCTCGCGCCCCCCAGGGCTGCAGGTGCCGCAGCAGCGGTAAACATGTTTGTGTTGCAGCCTCGCCACTCATTACCCCAGGAGTCCTCTTCTGAGTCATGGGGACCCCCTACGACCTCCACGCACCTGCTTGGCCACCGAGATTCTTCCTACTGCCCTAATTGGACAGGGATCTAGACAGTCTTCCTCCTCACCCTTCATTCCACCCCTCTTCACTACAACACTACCCTACCCCCGCCCCCACTCCGCGATCCTCAAGTCCAGCCCAGCTTGTGGGTGGGCGGGAGCGATTTTTAGCTCCTTGCAGCCTTAGAAGATGTTGGTCTCCAGGCTGCGCAGGCGCAGGAGATGTGGGTCCACTGCACGGAGTGGGATACTGAGGTTTGCTGTGGAGTGTGGGGAACTCCCACCTCCTACATGGGTGGGGATTCTGAAGTTGAGAACGGTTCTATTTGGTCCACAGCATGTACTTTTAAGGGTTAATATGGGGGTTCGGCGTTGCCTCCAAACTAACTCCAGAGCGAAAATTGATCAAAACTTCACCCTAAGGCCTGCCTGGCATCTGGTTCTTCTGAGCCTCCTCGATGCCCAGCCCCGAGCTAGGGAATCTGGAGGAGTTTATGTAAAGCCTAGAATGGGCCCAGTCTCAAGCTACATCCCTAGCCTGGAGCTTGGGATGAGGCGAGAATTCAAACCCTCACCCAGGGGCCCTCTTCCATTTTTGGAAGGGGCCATTTCAGAGGGCAAGGTCTTCTCAGGTGTCTGGATGATGCTGGAACCAGCCCTGAGTTTTAACCACAGCCCAGATGGACTCTTCAGGTCTTCCTCTGATTCCCTTCTTATCCCTGGGCTGGGTTAGGAGAATGGGTTCTGATAAAAGGAAGGGAGATGCCGCGAAGACCGAACAAGTGCTGAAGCAGCCAGAT